GCAGGATCTTGAAAACTAAACACTACTACCAAACACGAGGAAATCAGAGGTTACACTCAGCAGTATTAGTTTGTATTAAATGACTCAATCCAGTCTATTTATCAGCCTCCTGTTTCACTGAAATCTATTCATTCAAGAGCCTACCGAATTCTTCTGAGTTCTGTTTAGTCCATTCCCAAAACAATTTCCCTAGAGATCAAGGCTTTTTCTTAGCAGCATTTAAAAAGTAACAGGTGAAAGATGAAGTAGCAAAACCTATTTAATTAACTAAAATAATCAACCAAATAAGTTGCTAATACCAGGTTTGGGAAGTTTATTTGAATGTCTTGAAAGAAGAATTTATATCTTGTTGGTCACTTAACATTATTTTAAGATAATGTAAAGAGTACCTTATATGGGTGAAAGGGGACTATAAGTGTGTAAAAGATTTACATCTGTTGTACTGGTTTAAATTGAGCATTTCAACACAGAACACCACAAATCAGAAAAGTAAGCAAAGAGAAAAATAAACTGAAGAGACTTTATTTTCTGTAATAAATACCTTCCCAAGACTGTCATGGCTTCTCCATCATCTTTACAGATGAGCAGCTTGTCTACATTAGTATCGAGGACAGCGAGCGCTAATTGAAATATCACCTTTATTCCTTCACAGAAGAAACAATCCACAACCACCACTGCACTTTCAAATGGCATTACACTGAGGAAAAGAGTGAGGAACCAGGACAGGGAAATGGTGGATATTACACCCAAGTCCTGCATGCAGTCATAAAGCTGTGGAACATAGTCACGAGCCAGCTCTTCGAAGACACCCTGATCCACCAATGCTCCTGTTGAAAATAAATAACGTTGGATATCCATTAAATCGGAAGCAACTGACCACATCACCATTTAGGGGAGAAAAAAATATATACATATATTCTAGATATAAAATACAAAACCTGAGAATATTCTACATAATGCTTACACACATTTTCTTTCAAATAAATAACAAATTCTGTTCCACTACTGAGCTGTGCATACAAATTGAACTGTAATAAGTTTTTTTGTTTGTTTGTTTTAATTATATACTTTGTAAGAGCTAACAAAGGGTCTAGCACCTACAGAAGTTATATGATGGCTTTGGATTTCAAGAGAAGTGTGTGTTATACAAATCCATGCCATAACATCAGTGTCTTAAGCAGGCAGGGAGAATAATATCTAAGGCTGAATGAGTATCTCAAGCATGCGTGAGCTACAGTAAAGACAATTTCCATGATAAACTGAAGACCCATTCACTTTCACACACACAAGGAAACTGTCACCTGACAGCAATAGATTTCAGATAGTCGTGCCCTTTCAAATCAGGGGTAAACAGGGACAAAGACTTCTACTGCAAATTGCCAAAGCTCTGGTTTCCATCTTACCTTAATTAGATAATTGGATCATCTAAAATTCAAATTTTAGCCTCCCATCTCTCTTTTATTTACTTTTTTTTAAGTCCACTTTAGAATGCCATCTAATCTTAAGTAAGTGAAAAACTACTAACTATCACAATATCTGTTCAGGGAATGCTTCTATGCCTCTGAGGAAGTTGTCTTGCCACTAGCATTCACAGCTGTATCTATGCCACACATACATCTACACATACGCTTGTTTCAGTACAAACAATACCAATTAATTTGGCTAATTTTTGTACTGTCATTTTATAAAATTTCCCCATAACATACCAACAACTCTTGTGTTGTAGTAGTCAGGTAGCATACGTTCACACAGAGCCACCAGCAGCCAGAAAGCTTCCTCCTCTTTTGCATAAAGAAGGAGTACTGAAGTGACAATATTCATAGCCTAAAAGAAAGAGAAATATAAATTGCTAGACCCATTTATTCAGTATCTAGCACAGTAACTGGGCAGGTAAGTGGTTACTATGGTTAGGAAATTAGCTGCATCTTTCCCTGCAAACCTCAAACTATTCAAGTATTTTCCCATAAAAACAGCAGGTAGTGTTTTCCCAGTGCTCAAAGGCAGGCTTAAGAAAGCCTCAAATAAACCACAAAAAAATGTTAGGTTATTGGTTTGGTTTGGGTCTTTTTTCTTTAAGGAAAAATTTATCAAGATTTCTTTTCATAATTGAGGGCCTACTCAGGTCTGCAAGCATCCAGTTACACTGCTACTGATATTCTGCCAATAGGTGCTCTTGGGTAATCTGGGTCTGATGCAGACAAAACGCCTCCTACAGCACAACTGATGGCCCCTGCTGCACCACTCCTCGCAGAGGCAGCCTGAGCTCCCCATGCTTTCTGCTCCTATGACAAGGTCAAACACAGCATCTGTGAGCTGAGGCAAATGCCTGTAATTGTGTCAGTCACGAACAACCAGAGCACAGCGAAACAAAAGCCTCTTGCTGTTGCTTACTCTCCATGTTTGACTCTGTACACTACAGGTTTTTTTATGGCCTGTTTCACTCCTTTTCAAATATCACAGCAGTGTACAACGGCCTCTCAATTGTTCACTTACAGCCTTTGACTGGGCCTGTTAGTCTGAAGAAATGAAGCATTTCAGAACCATTTTCTTCTCAGTTTGCCTCCTAAGGAATTAGCTTCTTATTTCAGACCCTGTAACATTTTAAGACTCCGGCTTGACCTGTTTGAAACAGCAACTAAGGTTTCAACTGAAACTCAGAACAATGTTACAATTCTGTCAAAGTCCAAGCTATTCCTTTTTTTCTTGTCTACCCTGTATGAAATACTTTAGTGCCTGAATTCTGAATTCTCACTGCAACTGTGAATTGGCATTCTGAATGCCATGAACCAAGTCCCAAGGCTATTAACAATTATTGTGACAGCTTTAGGAATCAGAATTACAGTGTCTTTCTACTGTTCCTCCATTAAACAACCTTTACAAAAAGTTTTTGTAGCTGTTACTTAGTATTGTATTTGTTATTAAATAATTTATGATGGTATCTGTTAGAATTGCTTGCACTTTCAATTACTTGTGTTGTATCTAGGAATCTTAACAGTCAGACATTAATCAGGCTTCTTAATACTCATGAATTTATCCTTTTTTCAAAAATAGGTAAGAAGGCAAAAAAAGGGCCCAGGTGATAAGACAAAGTTACATAGCAAGAAAGAATGATTTGGGACCAGAAACTAAAGCGACCTGAATCACAGGCATAAGAACTCCAAACCCATGAACTGGTCAGCATTAATTCTACCAACACATGTTTGTGATGCACAGTGGTAAGATATCATCTGGGGTGCTTTATTATTATTATTATTTTAAGTTTTGTTTTGAATGATTGAATAGTATCATTGAAAAAAGTAAAGGACATTCTGGAGGGTTATTACTACTAATACTTTGAATAAGTAGGCAAAACTTTAAGGCTGAAAAATTAAAGTTTGTTGGTTTTGTTTGGTTGTTTTTTTCTTGCTTAAAAGAAAAGAACTTTTCTTCAGGGTCCATTTGTCATTTTCTGTAGATGTGCTTCAGGACAGCTCTGTTGTTATCCTCTGTCCTGTCTCTAGATTCACGGGCAGAAAATATGCTTACAGAAAACTATGCACATCTCTCAGCACGTACTGCTAATATTTCTGTTAGAGTAGGTCCTTGTGTCAAATCCCCCTGACCTCAGCATTACCATAATTTTGCAGCATTGAGGCTTTCCCTTACTGCATTATACATGTATGGGTGTACTTCACACAGCCAAATACTTGTGTACGTGACTGAAGAAATAGAAGTATAAGGAAAGAACTGGAATTCCAGAAAGTGAAGGAGTGCCAAGGTATTTCAGTTACCTGACAATATCCTATGTTTGGATTTCTAAAAGCATAAGCTGTCAAGACTCTCCTTAGAGCAGCAATACCCATCTCATTCTGGAATGCAGGGTGTTCAGGAAGGGAACGGTGCAGATCCCTCTCTATCTCTTCTGTAGCAAGATTATACTTCCCCATCGATTTCTCCACTAGGTCCTCATAATAGCCAGGATGAGTGGCCATTTCATTAATGGCTCCTGGGGGTGGGAGAACGGTATTAAAATCAGAAGAAAAAAAGCAAGGTTTAGCAGTTACAGTACCCCAACATGATGATCTTCTACTACCCTTTCATCTTGAATATCATCAAGAAGCACTTTGAAAGCAAATATGAAATGTTATTTTGTAAAGGTGATTAGGTGCTTAGGTGATTGAGGTATCACCCCTTCTTGTCTTCTCCTCTAGAGTCATTTTATGATGAGGTTAAAAATAAAGGAAAAAGATAAAGCCTCTCTTTCTTTCAGCCAGAGAGAAACAGGAGGCATGAAAAGCAAACCGGCTGTGCAGTCACATGGTTTCATGAGCTCTCTCTGCAGCTAGCTGTGGGTTTGATTATCATAAATAACTCAAAACATGCCTCTGAGAAAGCTACTTGCCCTGAGGAGGGAGTAGATTAATGCTTGGTTGCAAAAAGTATGATATCTCAGCCAAAAGCAAGAGACAGGAACTCCTGAGCTTTATTCCTGCTTCTGAAAATGACTCCGTATCTTAGGCAGGGCAGTTCGCCTGTCTCAGGGATACTACTGCCTGCTCACAGACTTACTATGAGATTTCACTGCCGACTTTAAAACTTCTCTGGAAATTAAAATCTCAGCAGCACAGGAAATCAAGTGTCAATAGCACAAAGCAATGCACATGGAAAATACTAATCATACGTACACCATGAAAATTGGTCCAAACTAGCTATCGATCAGACACAAGACAGATCTGTGCATTCCTGTGTATTTTTTCTGAAAACATTTGTTTAATGCCCACCAGCAAAGAGAAGATGTACAAGATTAAGCATTATTAGCGAAGAAATAGAAAACAAACCAGAAAGCATCATTAGTTCATCATATAAAGTCCCTGGTGTGCTCATAAAATGGTGTGGGTAGCTGTGGCAACTATCTCAGGGAGAGGCAGAGCTAGAAAAGGCATACATTAAGTGAAAGTTTATGAAGAAAGCCTGAAGTATGGACTGATTTACATAAAACCAGTAATAAAATGAATAAAGTTCTTCAACTTTGAAAAAAAAGCCTAAGGGGACACAGATCTAGAGAATCCTTGATGGCACAGAAGATGGACAGAAATATTTTCTCACCATTTTTCACATACTGGGGGCACCTAATAAAATGATAAAGTAACTTTTTTTTTTTAATTATGAAAAAAAAAATAATAATGGTTCCATGCAACACAAACTTTGGAATTCCTTGCAACAACTTGCTGTGAAGGCCAGAAGCTTAATTGGATACAGAAATGATTAAACAAATGGGAAGTAGGCCTGCTGGTGTTTGTTGAACATCTAGAAGCCCCTAGACTGCCAGCTTCTGGTAACAGAGTGTGCATTCTGCTTTTTTTATATTCTTTCCTAATTATTTGAGCCTGTTTGAGAAAGGGTATTTACTGGTCTAAACAGAACTCTTGTTTAAACCAGTCTGGCACCTGCTAACAACCACAGCCTTACTTGCTCCAAATATTTTTGGATGCTTACTATCTGCACCTTTAAACATCCTTGAAATTCCTTCTTCCCTCCCGCTTCTGCTTATATACCACAGTCATGTTCAAATGAATACCTACCTGAAAATAGTAGCCAAAGTTCCCCTCTCATGCTTTCTGGAATGCCCTTCAGCACAAGGTCTCTGGTTTTCTCGGTACGGTACATACAGACTCCTTGGCCGTATTCAGCAAAGTGAATCTTCCAGGCCTGTTCCTTCAAAAACTCTTTAGCCTAAAACCAAAGGCAGGCAGGCATAAAGGTACAGCTTCTCTTTCTAACACTCTGCCCCACTGAAATGCTACATGCTAAAAGGCCTGCAATGTCCTAACCTTCTGAGGGAGCAAGGAATAACTTGGCTACAGTCCAATTCTCCTCTTAATGGGCTGCCTCCTCCCACTTCCTAGGTGCTGTTAAAAGAGTATCATTGAAGCAGGTGTACTTAAGAGCAGGCATACAACCCTCTTTCATTTACATCCAACTTTGCTTTTTAATGAAGTTAGTTGTATTGGTAAAACAACAGCATGTTCAATGCTTTATTTCTGTAAAAAATACTGCCTCTTAACTGCCTGTGGCAGAATGAAACTCTTCCGGGTCAGAAACATGTATTTTAAAGACAACATAATTTAACAACTTTTTCAGTAAGGTACAACAATCCAAGGTGTATTTTACCAGCTTGGGGTTGAACTCCTCAGGTGACCTCCGCCGATACATTGTCATTAAAGCTTGAGTTGCTGTTGGAATGCCATTGTCATTGAGATTGAACTGTCGCTCTCCCTCCGACTCAGAGCTGAGGCTTTTATGAGGGCTGGCAGAAATTAAACTACTTGATCTTGTAAACACCTGTAGAAAGCCATCACAAGCAATACAGACATGGGGCTGAGCCAGAGTCTGGACTTTTTACTTCATTTTACTTCAAAATTTATACATGTTAACAGCTAAGAAAAACTGAGCAAATTAAATCACCCAGGTACATTCACAGGCTGAGCATATGACAGCAGAGATTAAACCAGTATAGAATAATAAAATTGTTTCCAGTTTCTCAATAGTTTTCCCCCACACTTAATCAAATCTTGTCATTAGAATTGCTATTTAAGTAGCCTCAAGCAATTACCCAGCTCCGTTGGTCTCCTGTCAAAATCATAGGACTGTTGACTCCCCAGGCAGCACCTTGACTGTCCAGAAAGTAAGATTTCTATATAACATATATTTGTGCGTGTGTACACATACACACACATTTATATCTGTATAGCTGTTTATACAGACATACACAAAATAAATTATTTTGTTCCCCTCCTGAAAAAAAGTTCCACAGAAAATTCAGCTCTGACAGATTATGATTTGGAAGAAAAATATTTTGAAGGAAAAGGATTTTCTAACTTCTCATGCAGCTTTGAAAATTTATCACAGTAAGATCTCATATAGCAGTTCACACCAAACATCTGAAATTGAAATTTGTAGTCATGTCATTAATTTAATAATAATACTTGCAATTTGTGTTTCTAATTCAGTAGATAGAATACATAGATCCATTTTTGGCAAAAGGCAAGATGAAGTTTCAGCATTATACAAATATATGCATATGTGCTCTGGTACACAACTACAACAACACACTAATTATACCTCACCATCAAAGCAGCAAGTAAAAAACTGACTTTTAAGATTTATGTGGCAAACAGGGTAGGGTTACTCAGTGCAATACTAAGGTATGGCTTAGTACAGATTTGGAATCTGAGATCTACATACATAAAACCAAAATGATACACCACAAAAACCTTTTCTGCTTTGAGATCTGAACTGCTAAATTTTGCTGGGTTTAACAGATCTGATGAGGTTGTGATATGAAGCACCTACATTTCATACATAAAACCTAGGAATTCAGCAGAAGCCTTGATATTCGAAGCGCGTGAGAAAAGTTTATCTAATCATATCTTTTAAGAACCATTTACTTTGCACAGGTAAATAGGGAGGTGGTTCAGAATAGGGCCATCTGATGTCCAGGACAGGGTTGGGTTTTTTTGTTAGTTCAAATGTTCCAAAGGTCGCTAGCAGTGCACGTGCACACTTGCTGGGCTCAGACATTGTTTTCTGAAGAGTCAAAGGACAAGATTTAGCAGCTAAAGTCTTCAACAGAAGAAATTATCAGTTGATATGAAACTCTTAAATTATTAAAATTCCACAATTTTACTTTGACGTGTACAAGTCAATAGATATTAAACAGTATTACTCCATTAATCAGTTAGTTAACTTTCCAACAAGATACACTGTAATTTCAGAATGTAGCAG